CTCAGAACTGGGCATCTCGTTTCTTCCTGCACAGTATGAGGGGCCCCAGGTAAGAGGTCGGGCTGTAGGAACCCATTCAGTCCAGGACTCACTGTCTCCCCTGGGGTCAGAGGCCGCCCAGCACTCTCCCACTTCCTCATTCTCGCAGCCTCTCCCAGCCTTGCCCAGACTCATATCCCCAGTCCTAGACAGTATCAGAGGGAAACCCTGAGGACCGTGGGGACTCCTCGAGTGCTCAGAGCCCCTCGCAGTTTGGAAGAGTGCTGTCCACTCTTACAGGTGGACAGGTGACACCGGGTCGCAGGCAGCCCAGCAGGCCAGGTGCACAGATGGCAGAGCGGAGCTTATCCCGGCTGGAGACCTGGCCTCAGACTGGCCGCGTTGAGTGGGGATGGGGGGTCTTTGTTGGCTGCCTGGGATGGGACAAAGTCACCCTGGCTTGCTGTCCTGCCTTGAGCACAGGCGCTGGGACACCGGTGACCGGGAGGGAGAGGCAGCTTGCACGTGCCTGGCAGGGGCTGGCCATGCTCCGTGGATGGAAGGTGCCCTTCCCAGGTCCCTCCTACTATACCCTTGATGAAGTGGGGCTGGGGGGTTCCGTCTGCGGGACTCTATTCCTGGAGGAGTGGGTCAGTCTGAGGTTGGGCACAGGAACCCTGGAAGCGTCCTTCCAGGCCTCTCCGAGAGCCCTGCTGGGAGACCACGTTTCCTGGCCACGCGGGCCTTTGTCCTTTCTGACCCTTCATGCAGTTCCCTTTGTGAGACTAAAAGGTTTCTCCCGAAAGCAGAGCCACCCAAGGAGAAATACCCCTTTTGGGAGGAGGGAGAGACAGGAACAACGCACCCAGTGAGCTTTGAATGTTCCTGCGTGCCTCGGTTTACCTTCCCGTGGTGTGGCGTGTTACCAGTGACCCGCGCATTTCTGATTGAGGTCTCCCACCTGCATGTTACGGTACATGGCATCATTTATAGCAGAGAAAACACCCGGGACAGTGGCTCCCCAGGTCCCAGACCAAAACAGGCCAAGGCTCGGCTCCCAGCCCTGTCCTCTCGCCCTGCCCCACCTGCAGGGCAGCCCCGACCCCGACAGCACACAGGTGAGCTGTGTAGCGCCACCCTGTCAGCCGTGGGAGCCTGCCATTTGCAGAGGGGTGGGTTGTCGTCCGAGTGAGCTGCACCTGTGCCCCGACGTCAGCCACCATCCTTCGTGTTACTCCTCACTCCGGGTTGTCGACCAGACTTTCCTGACCGTGGGGCAGTGTTGGAATTGAGGGCCTCTTTCCAAGGACACTGTCCCCTGCCCTCCCCATCTCTGTGCTTTCAGCGTCAGCCACTGTGCCCTGGGGC